TGTTTATTGTTTCTTGTCAGAACCACATAACAAAATTTATTGCCAACCCTTTTAAAATAATGCTGTTTGGGCTGGGTGCGGTGGCTCATGCCTGTAATCCAGCACTTTGGGAGGTTGAGGTGGGCGGATTGCCTGATGTCAGGAGTTTGGGACCAGCCTAGCTAACATGGTGAAAACCCGTCTCTCCTAAAAATACAAAAATTAGCCAGGCATTGTGATGGTCACCTGTAGTCCCAGCTACTCAGGAGGCCGAGGCAGGAGAATCGCTTGAACCTGGGAGGTGGAGGGTGCAGTGAGCCAAGATCATACCACTGTACTCAGCCTGGGTAACAGAGCAAGACTCTGTCTCTGAAAAAATAAAATAAGCTGTTGAGACATATTAACTGTATGAAAGTGTTGTGCCACATATCCCTAGAATGTTTTTATCTTGCGAAGCTCAATCTCAGTATACATTCAACAAGAACTAATTCTTCCGATTCTCTGGCACTTTGCAAACACCACTCTGCTTTCTTTTTCTAAGAGTGTAACTGCCTCACATACCTCGTACAGTCTCTTTTTGTGGCTGGTCATTTTGTTTTGTGTAATGTCATCAAGCTTTAGCTTTATGGTGGTTAGAATATTTTTGGCTTTTTAAGTCCTGGGTGATATTCCACTATTTTTATATTTTAAATTATATCTACTGAATAATTTGGTGACAGAAAATCACATTGTTGCTTTCAGTAACAATGCTGCAGTAATGATGGGTATGCCAAGAACTCTTCATATGGCCATATATGTGAAAGTTTATATATGACTCGCATTCTATTTTTTTGACCATTATAGCTATACCAATTTGTTTTTATTCTGTAACTTTGTAATGTATTTTGAAATCGGGAAGTGTACTGACTTTAACAAGCTTCCTTTTTAGAAGACTTTGGGTACTTTATCGTCTTTGGGGATTTCCTATACTCAGGGGGTTGCTGTTTCTGTTTCATCCAAAATGCAATGAGAAATTCTAAAGAAAAATTGCATTAAATTTCTAGATTACATTGAGCAGTATGGACATCTTCAAAATATTAATTATGTCAACCTTTGAACAGGAGCATGTTGGAGTGTGTTGTTTAATTTCTATAAAGTTGTAAATTTTTCAGTTTTTGTCTATTGCTTTATACTCATTTCATTTTGATCATAGAATGTAATTCATGTAACTTTTCGGTTTTAAAAAATTTGTTAAGACTTCTTTTTTTGGTGGGTCACAGTGACTCATGCCTGTAATCCCAGCACTATAGGAGGCTGAGGTAGACAGATCATGAGGTCAAGAGATTGAGAACATCCTGGCCAACATGGTAAAACCCTGTTTTTACTAAAAATACAAAAATGCCGGGCTCGATGGCTCAAGCCTGTAATCCCAGCACTTTGGGAGGCCAAGGCAGGTGGATCACGAGGTCAGGAGATCAAGACCATCCTGGTCAACAAGGTGAAACCCCATCTCTACTAAAAATACAAAAAATTAGCTGGGCATGGTGGCACATGCCTGTAGTCCCAGCTACTCAGGAGGCTGAGGCAGGAGAATTGCCTGAACCCAGGAGGCGGAGGTTGCGGTGAGCCGAGATCGCGCCATTGCACTCCAGCCTGGGTAAGAAGAGCGAAACTCCGTCTCAAAAAAAAAAAATACAAAAATTAGCTGGGCATGGTGGTGCACGCCTGTAGTCCCAGCTACTCAGAAGGCTGAGGCAGAAGAATCTCTTGAACCTGGGAGGCAGAAGTTGCAGTGAGCCAAGATATGTAGACTGTGAAACAGAAAGACTTATTGTTTTATTTGATGCTTGTATCTTTGTCTCTCATTTTCTCTTAACTTGTGTATTTTTTATTACTATGTTGATATGCTTTTACTTCTTTCTTATTTTGTTTTATGTATCTACACAAATATATTCTTTGTGCTACCTTGGGGATTACATAAAATCTCTAAAAGATACAACATACTTCAGTGTGATATTAAAAAAAACTTAGTTGCATACAAAAATGTTTTCTCATTACGTCTGCCCTCAAATTTGTCATTGATGGTTCAAATTATATCTTTTTATGTTGTATATTCATTAACATGTTTATAATAATTTCTGTTTTTTAACGTTCAAATTTTAGAGAATAATTTAAAAATGTTTTTTGCACCATTATAATAATGCTTTAAAAAAATCAATTTTTTGTGTTTCTGCATGTCTTTTCCAGAAAATAAATGTATTTTTATATGATTATGTGTTGTTTCGTTGAGTAATGTTATTTTTAGTAGAAACAATTGCTTTTAGCACCTTTTTTGGCACTTTTTATGGAGTGCCAATACGCTTCTTCAGAATTTGGTTGTTTTTGAAGTTTTTTTTTTTTTGAGATGGAGTTTCACTCTTGTTACCCAGGCTGGAGTGCAACTGCGTGATCTTGGCTCACCACAACCTCCGCCTCTTGGCTTCAGGCAATTCAACTGCCTCAGCCTCCTGAGTAGCTGGGATTACAGGCACACGCCACCATGTCCAGCAAATTTTTTTATATTTTTAGTAGAGACGGGGTTTCACCATGTTGACCAGGATTGTCTCGATCTCTTGACCTCGTGATCCACCTGCCTCGGCCTCCCAAAGTTCTGGGATTACAGGCGTGAGCCACCGCGCCCCGCCTGAAGTTTTGTTTTGTTTTTTTTTTTAATTTAGCAGGACATCTTTGCTGATGGTATTATACTCACTTGAAAAGTTTTTTTTTTGTTTGTTTCAGGACTTTCACTATATCAGACAGTACCCTTGTGGTCTGCAAAAGTTTTGTTGATAATTCACTGGCTATCTCATAAGACTATGCTTGCAAATGATGCATCACTTTTATCTTGCAGTTTCCAAGATTCTCTTTTTTTCTGTGACTTTTGAAATTGTGCTTATATAAGTGTTTGTTATAAATATTTTTGTGTGTATCCTAGTTTGTTTTTTGAGTTTTTTTTTTTTTTTTTGATATGGAGTCTCACTCCTGTCGCCCAGGCTGGAGTGGAGTGGCATGATCTTGGCTCACTGCAACCTCCACCTCCTGGGTTCAAGCAATTCTCCTGCCAAAGCCTCCCACGTAGCTGGGACTACAGGCTTGTGCCACCATGTCCAGCTAATTTTTGTATTTTTAGTAGACACGATGTTGGCCAGGATGATCTCGATCTCCTGACCTCATGGTCTGCGAACCTGACTTCATGATCTGCCCACCTTGGGCTCCCAAAGTGCTAGGATTACAAGCGTGAGCCACCGCACCTGGCTGAGCTTTTTGTTTTTATGTCATTTCTTTCTTTCAGGATATCTCAGTTATTCCTTTTGACATTTTTTACTTTTATAATTTTTGTTTTTTTTTTTTTATATTTTATGTATTTTGTTCTTATCATTTTTCTGATTTTCTGTAGTTCTCTATGTACCTATTTTACTATTACCCAAATTATTTTCAATTTTTTTTTTAATAGAGACGAGGTTTCACCATGTTAACCAGGATGATCTCGATCTCTTGACCTCTTGATCCCCCCGCCTCAGCCTCCAAAAGTGCTGAGATTACAGGCGTGAGCCACCGCACCCAGCCCTATTTTCAATTTTTAAATTAATATTTTTATGGTTTTTTATAATATTTTTGATAAAACTATATTGCTCTGTTTTGTATACATTATAATCTATGATTGACATTTGGACATTGAAAAAGGCTACCTGTCACAATCTTTATAATATAGCTTTGTTGGCCAGGCGCGGTGGCTCACACCTGTAATCCCAGCACTTTGGGAGGCCAAGGCGGGTGGATCGCGAGGTCAAGAGATCAAGACCATCCTGGTCAACATGGTGAAACCCCGTCTCTACTAAAAATACAAAAAATTAGCTGGGCATGGTGGCGCGTGCCTGTAGTCCCAGCTACTCGGGAGGCTGAGGTAGGAGAATTACCTGAACCCAGGAGGTGGAGGTTGCGGTGAGCCGAGATCGCGCCATTGCGCTCCAGCCTGGGTAACAAGAGCAAAACTCCGTCTCAAAAAAAAAATATATATATAATAGCTTTGTTATGTCATACTCTGAGCAATTGTCTAAAGATTCTGGGAGTCTCTTAGGCATGTTCCTAGAATGTATCTTGTCTACAATTTTGTGCTTATTTTTTATTTAAAGGAGTTTGTGTTTCTTTTCTTTTTTTTTCTTGAGACAGAATCTCGCTCTGTCTCCCATACTAGAGTACAATGGCCCAATCTTGGTTCACTGCAACCTCTGCCTCCTGGGTTCTAGCAATTCTCTCGCCTCAGTCTCCCAAGTACCTGGGAATACAGGTGCAGGCCACCACACCTGGCTAATTTTTAAAAAATATATATATTAGTAGAGATAGGGTTTCACCATGTCTCAAACTTGTGACTTCAGGTGATCCACCAGCCTTGGCCTCCCAAAGTGCTGGTATTACAGGTGTGAACCACCTCATCTGGCCCCTTTGTGTTTCTTCTTAACAGTCAGTAATCATTTGCTATATCTGTCTTCTGTGTGTGGTACTCTAGTCTCTCTGCTGTAACATTTAGCTTTGGTCTCAGCAGACATAAACTGTCATTCCAAAGTATACCACCATTTCTTTGAGCACTATGTCGAGGATCCAGAAACCAGTGTCTAGAAAAACCTCCAGAAGCAAGTAGTAAATATGTATGTGCAGTATTTTACTTGTCTTTTTAAAAAGAAACCATAAGTTGGCAGTTTACTTGGAAAGGCGCTATGTTATATTGGGGAGCCGGAAGAGCTGTGCTGGGTAAATGTAACAGACTTTTCTTTTTCTTCTCTGTCACTCTCTGTTGTGCTCAGCTGGGGCACTTCCCACACTTAACTCTTTTATACATTTCCTCAGATGTATTTTTGTTGTATGTTTTTGTTACGTTTACATGTCTATAGAAAATAGGGCCTTTGGTATTTTGCTGTGCCATCTTGTATATGTAGTTTGTATAATTTTCTGGGTTAGATTTGAGTCTAGTAAATGGAGTAATTTGTTATTTTTATTTCTTTCAGTTATATATTCTCATTTTGCCCAAGACCTTTGGCCAGTGCAGGGCATAAAAGATTCTTTCCAAGAAGTCATATTGAGAAGATATGGGAAATGTGGACATGAAGATTTACAGTTAACTACAGACTGTGAAAGTGTGGAAGAGTGTAATCTGTACAAAGAAGGTTATAATGAACTAAACCAGTGTTTGACAACTACCCAGAGTGAAATATTTCAATGTGATCAATATGTGAACGTCTTTTACACATTTTCAAATTCAAATATACATGAGATAAGATATACTGGAAAGAAACCTTTCAAATGTAAAAAATGTGACAAATCATTTTGCATGCTTTTACACCTAACTCAACATAAAAGAACTCATATTAGGGAGAATTCTTACCAATGTGAAGAATGTGGTAAAGTCTTTAACTGGTTCTCAACCCTTACTAGACACAGGAGAATTCACACTGGAGAGAAGCCCTACAAATGTGAAGACTGTGGCAAAGCTTTTAAGCAGTCTTCAACTCTTACTGCACATAAGATAATTCATACTGGAGAGAAACCTTACAGATGTGACGAATGCGGCAAAGCCTTTAACCGGTCCTCGCACCTTACTACTCATAAAAGAATCCATACTGGAGAGAAACCCTACAGATGTGAAGAATGTGGCAGAGCTTTTAACCGGTCCTCACATCTTACTACACATAAGATTATTCATACTGGAGAGAAACCCTACAAATGTGAGGAATGTGGCAAAGCCTTTAACCAGTCATCAACCCTTACTACACATAAGGTAATTCATGCAGGAGAGAAACCCTACAAATGTGAAGAATGTGGCAAAGCTTTTTACCGATTCTCATACCTTACTAAACATAAGATAATTCATACTGGAGAGAAATTTTACAAATGTGACGAATGTGGCAAAGGCTTTAATTGGTCATCAACGCTTACTAAACATAAAAGAATTCATACTGGAGAGAAACCCTACAAATGTGAAGAATGTGGCAAAGCTTTTAATGAGTCCTCAAACCTTACTGCACATAAGATAATTCATACTGGAGAGAAACCCTACAAATGTGAAGAATGTGGCAAAGCATTTAACCGTTCCCCAAAACTTAATGCACATAAAGTAATTCATACTGGAGAGAAACCCTACAAATGTGAAGTATGTGGCAAAGCTTTTAACCAAATGTCAAACCTTACTAAACATAAGATAACTCATACTGGGGATACATCTTACAAATACCAAGAATGTGATAAAGCCTTTAACCCATCCTCAACTCTTACTAAACATAAGGTAATTCATACAGGAGAGAAACCATACAACTGTGAAGAATACAGCAGAGCTTTCAACCAGTCCTCAAACTTTATTGAGCAAAGTAATTCATACTGGAGGGAAACCGTACAAATGTGAAGACTGTAACAAAGCCTTTAACCAGTCCTCAATTCTTACTAAACATAAGACAATTAATACTGAAGAGGAACTCTATGAGTGTGAATAATATGGCACTGCTTTCAACAAGTCCTCAATTTGTAATAGACCTAAGATAATTTATACTGCAAAAAAAAACTACAAACCAGAAAGATGGTCAGTGCTTTTGAAAACACCTCAAACTTTTTTATTTTTTTGAGACGGAGTCTCACACTGTTTCCCAGGATGGACTGGAATGGCGCGGTCTTGGCTCACTGCAACCTCTGCCTCCCGCGTTCAAATGATTGTAGAGACGGGGTTTCACCATGTTGTCCAGGATGGTCTCAATCTCTTGATCTAGTGATCCACATGCCTTGGCCTCCCAAAGAGCTGGGATTACAGGCGTGAGGCACCATGCACGGCCTAAAACTTTCTTAAACATTAAAAAAAATACTGGTGAGACATATTAGAAAAGGAAAGAATGTGACAGAGCCTTTAAATGGTTGTCACACTTGATTGTAGGCCAGATAATTCATACTGAAGAAAACTTCTACGGAGTGAACAATGTGGCAAAACTTTGAATGAATGCTCACAGCTTATTGCACTGGAAAGCATTTATTAAGAAAAATTTTATAAATATAAAGACTGTGCAAAAGCCATTAATGTCTGTTCACATCTTACTCAACACTAGAGAGTTCATACTTAATAAAAGGAATGTAAGTGCAATTACTGTCAAAAGATCTTTCAGAAAATATCAACCTTTCAAGTGAAGAAGAGTATTTATTTTGAAGATGAACATTGAGATGTGAAAAGGATCACAGTACCTTTTTTTGTATCACAGGTCTTATTGTACACATTTTGTACTAGACGAAAACTCTGAAGTAGTTGCTCAAACTTTGCTCAACATCAGAAAATTTATATTGAAGAAAAACCTTGCAAATTTAATAAATTTCAAGACACTTTTTCAAAAATACAGCTTAGAAGACTCCAGAGATTTTATACTAAAATCTATTTTTGCACATATAGTAAAAATGAAAAAATATTAATTCAAAATTAAGGCTATGTAAATATCAGAGAATTTACAGTAGAAATATATAAGACACTGACACTCCAGATGTACTAAATCAGAGTGCTGGGTATAAAAAAATTAAAGTTGGTGGAAAAGTTGTTTGTATATAAGTTTAAAAGGAGTAGGTTTTTTAGAGAGTTATTACATTCAAAGTATACTTTATTTCTTGAAAAAAGTACAGATTTTTTAAAAGTAAATAATTATGTCATTCAACTCTCCAATTATTTCCTGCTGTTTCTTCATTCCTGTTGTATTCACATGTGAAAGCACGTGATCAGCTATTGCTGCATTAAAGACATGAGATTCTTTTTTATTAGGTGGCATTATTTATGATCTTTTCTATGAAACAGTGAGGACATTAAAATGTAAGATGCATGAAGAATATATAAGTGAAGAGGCTCTTTGTGGTTAACTTAATATTGAGTGATGCATTAGGTCAGTGTTCAGAGTAATATTCTTTTGCATTATGAGAAGAAAACATTTTTAATTTTATTTAAAATTAAATGAAAACCTATTAGTATGTTACATATTAGTATGTAATTGTGCTTTTATGTAATAAAATGCAATATGTTTAAAAAATGTTCGCTTATGTGTGAAGTTAATATTTAAATCCAACATTTTTAACATGCTAAATAGTACTGGCTGGGCGTGGTGGCTCACACCTGTAATCCCAGCACTTTGGGAGGCTAAGGTGGGTGGATCATGAGGTCAGGAGTTTGAGATCAGCCTGGCCAACATGATGAAAGCCTGTCTCTACTAAAAGTACAAAAAATTAGCCCATATGGTGGCAGACACCTATAATCCCAGCTCTTTGGGTAGGAGAGTTGCTTAAACCCGGGAGGCGGAGGTTGCAGTGAGCTGAGACCACCACTGCACTCCAGCCTGAACAAGAGAGCGAGACTCTGTCTCAAAAAAATAAAATAAATAAATACTACTGTATATTCAATGAGGTCTTACTATGTCACAAACTTTAACCTATTCTACTTAAGGGTTTGGATAAAAGATGGTAACAATATACTATTTGGCAACATAGCGGATTAACATCTGGAGTTATCTCGTCAGAGGGTTTAAACTGCAAATTAATATTGTTTATGTTAAATTTTTCTTTTTACCAATTTAAGTTTATTTTATTTTATTTTTGAGACAGAGTTTCGCTCTTGTTACCCAGGCTGGAGTGCAATGGCGCGATCTCGGCTCACCACAACCTCTGCCTCCTGGGTTCAAGCAATTCTCCTGCCTTGGCCTCCCAAAGTGCTGGGATTATAGGCATGAGCCACCACGCCCGGCCTTATAAGAATAATTTTTATGAAATATGCATAAAAAATAATTTTTAGATGTAATTCCACAATTAGTGTATTATGTTACATTTTATGTAGTTAGCACACTGTTTTGTCTTCAATTGGAATACTGTATAGAAGCTTCCTATTCTTTAGTTATCATTCTATTTATTTATTTATTTGGAGACGGAGTCTCACTCTGTCACCCAGGCTGGAGTGCAGTGATGTGATCTCAGCCCACTGCAACCTCCGCCTCCCGGGTTCAAGCGATTCTTCTGCCTCAGCCTCCCGAGTAGCTGTGACTACAGGTGCCCACCGCCATGCCCAGCTAATTTTTTGTATCTTAGTAGAGACGGGGGTTTCACTGGTGCCCAGGCTGTTCTTGAACTCTTGAGCTCAGGCAATCCACCTGCCTCAGCCTCCAAAAGTGCTAAGATTACAGGCATGAGCCGCCGCGTCCAGCCTCTTTTTACTTTTTATAATTGGCATAAGTAAATTTATTTATGGAGTCAAATGGTTCAGGTAAATACAAGGAAAGCTTGATAAGTCATGAAGATGTTTTTATATGTAAATGTAGCCAGCATGTATGGCAGTTCTTGTGTAACATGCTCCAGAAAAAGCCATAAATACTTTTGCTAAAGTTAGTTTGTAATTTCAAGTCAGAGATAGAAAATATTAGTGGTGGTTGGCTGGGTGAGGTGGCTCAAGCCTGTAATCCCAGCACTTTGGGAGGCTGAGGCGGGCGGATCACAATGTCAAGGATCGAGACCATCCTAGCCAACATGGTGAAACCCCGTTTCTATTTAAAAAAAAAGAAAAGAAAATATTAGTGGTGAAGAAGTACAATTAATTTTTTATGTGAAGAGGACAGTTTTCAGGCTGCAACAGTGTTGTTGAATTAAAAAATGCTTCTTTTCTAATTGTCTTCAGATTTGTTTGTATTATGTGTATCCAGCTATGTTTGCATCACAGCCCTCATTTTTGTGTGTTATGGCTACAGTTTTCTCACTGTTGTCTTCATGCCATTTTATTTCACATGGTATTTTGCAGATTTTGATGAGAAAGTTGTTTTTTGTTTCTTCCTTTTTTTTTGAAACAGAATCTCGCTCTGTCGCCCAGGCTGGAGTGCAATGGCACACTCTGCTCACCGCAACCTCTGCCTCCTGGGTTCAAGCAATTCTCCTGCTTCAGCCTCCCAGGTAGCTGGGATTACAGGTGCGAACCACCACACCTGGCTAATTTTGTGTATGTGTGTGTATTTTTAAGTAGAGATGGGTTTCACCATTGTTGGTCAAGCTAGTCTCGAACCCCTGACATCATGATCCACCCACCTCAGCCTCTCCAAGTGCTGGGATTACAGGCATGAGCCACCTCACCTGACTTGTGTTTTTTTTTTTTGTTTTTTTTTTTGTTTTTTTTTTTTTTTGAGTCGGAGTCTAGCTCTGTCACCCAGGCTGGAGTGTAGTGTAGTGGCGTGATCTCAGCTCACTGCAACCTCTGCCTCCTGGGTTCAAGTGATTCTCCTGCCTCAGCCTTTTGAGTAGCTGAGATTACAGGTGCTTGCCACCATACCTGGCTAATTTTTGTATTATTATTAGAGATGGGGTTTCACCATTCTGTCAGGCTGGTCTCAAACTCTTGACTTCAGGTGATCCACCCACCTTGGCCTCCCAACGTGTTGGGGTTACAGGCTTGAGCCTGAAAAACTAGTTTTAACTGGAGAGTTTACTTATCAATATAACTTTCAGATCAGTTAATTAAGATAAAGGCCTACACTTTCCACAGGTGAGAGGTTGCATGGTTTTTTTTCTGTAAAAGGAAAATTTTATTAGATTGTTATACAAAGTGTAGTAAATACACAATTTGCTAGAAAATATACCTTTAAATTTTTAAGAGAATTAATGGTAAGTGAATATTTTTATATTCTCTGTAATATACTTATAGCAAAACTTATGTTTCCATGCAGAATCTTCTATTTTTTTTTTTTTTTCCTTCAAGAAGTCTCACTCTTACCCAGTCGGGAGTTCAGTGACACGATCTCAGCTCACTGTAACCTCCACCTCCCCAGTTTCAGGCAATTCTCATGCCTCAGCCTCCCAAATAGCTGAAATTATAGGCACTTGCCACCACACCTGGCTAACTTTTGTATTATATTATTATTTTTTTAAGAGATGGGTTTCACCATGTTGATCTGGCTGGTCTCGAACTCCTGACCTGATCCACCCACCTCAGCCTCCCAAAGTGCTGGGATTACAGACGTGAGCCACTGCACTCAGCCAACTTTTTTTTTTTTTTAATTGAGATGGGTCTTCACCATCATGGCCAGGGTGGTCATGAACTCCTGACCTCAGGTGATCCACCCACCTCAGCCTCCTAAAGTGCTAGGATTACAGGCGTGAGCGACTGTGCCCGGCCCGTAACTTTTGTGTTTTTAATGAAGACTGGGTTTTGCAATGTTGGTCAGGCTGGTCTTGAACTCCTGACCCTCAGGTGATCCACCTGTCTCAGCCTCCCAAAGTGCTGGGATTACACGTGTGAGCCACTTCACCCAGTCCGAATCTTCTATTTTTAAGTGTAACTGTTAAAGTTTGCAAAATAATAAAATGACCTCTGTGAATTTGAAATTTGAAAGAATTTTTTTTCATATTGATACTGCAATTTGGAGGAATTTCCCACTTACATATAATTTTTTTTAGTGGGTGGAGTTTAGTCTTCAGTTTTTATTTTTAGTCACCTAACTGTAGCCAACTCCTCAGTCATTTTCTCTGGATAACTTATGGAAATCCTGACAGCTTTTGGATTAAAACATTTGTTGTTATTTAGCATGCAAACTAGTTTACTGTGGTCACAGAATGGCCAGTCATGGGGCCATAAGCAACACCTGCTCCTTTAGTGTCTTTCATACCATTACCATCAGCACCAGAAACTTCAGGTGCCCCAAGTTTAAAGCAAAAATTCTAAAGTATATTGGCTTCTCCCATGCAATGTGCTGGGTCCAGAACATGCTGTTAAATATCACAGTTCCTGGCTGGGCGCAGTGGCTCACGCCTGTAATCCCAACATTTTGGGAGGTCAAGGCAGGTGGATCACGAGATCAGGTGTTCGAGACCAGCCTGTAGCCAGGCATGGTGGCACTCTCCTGTAATCCCAACTACTCGGGAGGCTGAAGCAGGACAATCACTTGAACCTAGGAACTGGAGATTGCCGTGAGCTGAGATCACGCCGCTGAACTCCAGCTCAGGCGACAGTGGAGAGTTCCTATGGTTATGACTGACAAATGACAAAAACACAAAAACTATGTACTTAGCAAAGATTATGACACAGATACAGAAAGTGTTTGAAACATTGTTATCCTTCTGTCATGTTTTGAAAATATGCTTTTATTTTATTTTTTTGAGACAGAGTTTCTCTGTTGTTACCCAGACTGGAGTGCAATGGCGCGATCTCGGCTCACCATAACCTCCGCCTTCTGGGTTCAAGCAATTCTCCTGCCGCAGCCTCCCGAGTAGCTGGGACTACAGGCGCGCACCACCATGCCCAGCTAATTTTTGTATTTTTAGTAGAGACGGGGTTTCACCATGTTGACCAGGATGGTGTTGATCTCTTGACCTCGTGATCCACCCCGCCTCGGCCTCCCAAAGTGCTGGGATTACAGGCTTGAGCCACCGCGCCCAGCCAAATCTTTTAAACTTATTTCTTCTGTTCAACTATGATTATATATATTTTGACAAACATCTTTTTATCCCTTTAATCCTAAATATATTGGCCTCTGATGGTCACCATTTTACTTTATATATTACTGAGATTAACTTTTTTGGAATCCATGTGTAAGTGAAATAATGAGATATTAATCTTTCTGTGCCTGACTTACCTCAACCAGCTTAATCCATGTGGTTGAAAATAATAGATTTTTTCCTAGGCCAGACATGATGGCTCACACTTGTAATTCCAGCTCTCTAGGAGACTGAGGCAGGTGCATCAGTTGAGCATAGAGTTGAGACCAGCCTGGGAAACATGACAAAAACCCATCTCTACTAAAAATACAAACAAATCAATCAGCTGGGCATGGCGGTGCACACTTGTAATCCCAGCTACTCCAGAGGCTGAGGCACAAAAATCCCTTAAACCAGAAATGTGGAGGTTGCAGTGAGCCAAGATTGTGCCACTGCTCTCCAGCCTGGCTGACAGAGCGAGACTCAATCCAAAAAAAAAAAAAAAATTCTTTTAAAAATAATGAATAGTACTCCATTGTGTGTATCTATCCCATTGTCTTTATTTCCTCCTTAGAAGTTAAACAGTTGAT